TCTCTCTCTCAAATTTTAAAAATTAACAATAATAAATAAAACTAAATAAATTATTCTTTAGAAAAAAAGAAAAGAGGGGCCGTGGTTGGTGTAATGGCTATGTTGCTGGACTCCCATGTAGTTGACTGCACTTAGAGTCCTAGACCCGGTGACTTAAACTCATGCCAGGCACGTGTGCATGTGTGCCCAAGATTCTGAAAGGAGAATGAAGGAAAAGGGACTGTGTTGTGTCCATCCCCCTTGGGGGTGATTTCTCACTTTCTGTCTCTCTCTTTCTGGCAAGTGCGTGTGTGCAGAGACCTGGGGCCAGCAGGTGGTATGAAAGTTAAGGTGACTGGATCTCCCATGGACAGCTGCACAGTTCAAGTTCCAGACCTGGTGGCTTGAAAATCACACCAGGTGCATGTGCAAATGTGCCCAAAATCCAGAAAGGAGAATGGAAGAGAAGGGATTGCAGTGTGGCCATCCTCCCCCCCCACCCTGAGGGGAGTGATTTCTCTAGACAGATAGATAGATAGATAGATAGATAGATAGATAGATAGATAGATAGGTAGATAGGTAGGTCTCTCTGGTGAGTGCATGTGACCTATAGCAAAAAACTAAAGAAGAAAAAAGAGAGAAAGGGGGACTGACTACTAGCAACCTGACTTCTAAGGGCAATCAGAAAAAACAAAACAGGGACACTGAATGACATCATCATAAACTATAAAAAGAGCTCTTCAAAATGGTGACTTTTAAATATAAGTAGAATGATATCCTGATATCCAGTGTCTCCTGTTCAGCCAAATATGTATAACATTTCAGGATATTTTTAATGCATACATAAATTCTCTTACATGAAATTCTTAGTTCTCTGGTAATGGCTGCCTGTGAGAGCCATGGGTTCCTTTGGAGGAACAAACCCGTTCTAATGCTCTTGGCTTCCGCAGAGTTGACTCACCCGTCTCATGCAGGTTGCCCAGACTGCTGAGCCTCCATACGTTTTTCTAGCTAGGAGATACTTTCTAGCCTATCCCGCCTGGTTCCTCCCACATCTGATGATCTTTGGGCTTGAATATTTGTACTGAAAGTTGTAGCAAAGGCATTTAATTCCACTTCTGTGTTTTTACTTGGTTTTCTACTGACTATACTTGGGTCTAATCGAATATCTTCTTGATCCAGGACTTGCATGCATAATGACAATAATTAACAGATCTGTAGAGCTTTGCATTTTCACGAAGTATTTCATGCACGTTATCTCATATAACATTCATGTCAAAAGATGTCTTGGGAGTGGGAAGTGGAGCAGAAAGGGAGAGATTGCTGATATTTTCATTCATGGTAAAAGGCTCAGAAACAGCAAGTATAAAGAGAAAAGGAGTTAACAGCTCAAATGGGATTTGGGTATTTTCTGTTGATTTTATTATCTATGCACCTCCCAGCCTTCTTTTTAATTTTGACTCCCATTAGGAAAACAATTAGTTTAATGCATTTTTTGGTAATTCATGATGTCGAAGTGCCTACAGGGCCAAAGCACTTGTGCACTGTTAGCTGGGGTTTAAATTGCTGTTACCTCTTTGAAAGGCAATTTGGTGACATTAAACTTTGAAATGCACAGGAGCCAGTGGGTCCTGTAGTGATTAAGGTGCTAGACACCCACATGGCCAACTATGGTTTAAGGTCTGGTCCTGGCAGCTTGAAAATCACACTGGGCACGTGTGCACCCAAGCCCAAACTCCCAGGAGAAGGAATTGCAGTGTGGATGTCTCCCCGGGGGATGATTTTTCACTTTACTTTCCCTCTCACCATCTCTCTCCAGTGAGCACATATGCCCTATAGCAAAAGCCTAAAAGAAGTTTAATGCACATACCTGTGTCCCCATGGAGCCATGAAAATATTATAAGTAGCAGCAAAAGGCTAAAAAAAATGTAATTTTCATCAAGGAGATATTGATTCGTTTAGTAAAGTACAATACATTGAAGCAATAGGAAACTCTTTAACAGAGTAAGAGAAAGTGAGATTGAACTGTATGTCCAAGATATTGATACGTTGTTTTGTGAAAAGAGCAAGGCCCACAAGAGCATGTATAGAATGCTACATGGGGGCACAGTATTGACTTGTACTCTTGGATGTGCTTGGAGTATCTCTGAAAGAATACACAAATGTCTTGTGAGAATGGATGATCCATGGAGGGAGATAGCGGCTTAGGAATCAAAGATCAGAAGGAAACAAACCTGGGAACCAGCAGTTAGCGTAATGGCTATGTCACTGGACTCCCACGTAGTCGACCGCGGTTCGTGTCCCGGACCCGGTGGCTTAAAACTCACGCCGGGCGCGTGTGCGTGCGTGCCCAAGATCCCGAGAGGAGAATGGAAGAGAAGGGATTGCGGTGTGGCCATCCCCCCTGGGGGGTGATTTCTCGCTTTCTGTCTCTATGTCTCTCTCTGTCTGTCTGGCGAGCGCACGCGCCCTACAGTGAAAATCTCTCCAAAAAAAAAAAAAGAAGGAAACAAACCTTTCACAATACTTTTTCACTCTACTTTTCATTTTATACTGTTTGTATCTTTTACCTTTTTAAAAAAAATGTAGTAGTTTTATGTAAAAAAAGTACTTTGTATGTTTATGATCTTATGAAGTTTTTCACAAAGGTTTTCTTTTACCATTTCTACACAACTTAGAAAAAGATAACTGTTTCACTTTTCAATGCAGAATGTTTATTTCAATCATCAAAATTCCAGTGTCTCCGGCACTTAAAGGAATGTATATCTTCTCACTAACCAACATTCGATAATATGCTGAGTTTTGAATAACACATTGAATAACACATCGAGTATGAACACAAAATTTGCAATGGCTGATGATAATCTCATAAGCAATAAGACAAGGGGTCTATGGAAAACACAGCAGTGATCTTAAAATCTGGAAGAATTCCTTGCCTCTTTTCCCACTATTTTTTGTTTGTTTGTTTAAAATTTTGTGGAGCTGTGTTTGTAAAAAGGCTGAGAGAGGTTGCCGCGGGCGAATGAGGGACTAGGGAGGAATGAGGAAGAGGCGCGATTTTCCTCTTTGAATGAAGAACACAGCAGAATGGCGGCGAAGGGAAGCTCAGTGCCGAGAACGTTGGTGATCTCTGTGACTTACCTCGTTGTAAAATGGGCTGTTGGTGCCTTCCTTCACTGTGCTTTGCTTCTTCTCGTCCCCGATTTCAATGGTCACAACAGGGTCAATGTTCTCGCCCACCAGCTGGCGGGCCTCAATGATGGTGATGGCAATCTACAACAGAAAGCAGAATGTCCCCAACTCTGGATGTTGCTGTTCAGTCACATCAGGGAGAACTGGGGAAGGCTGGGCGGAAGGGTCAACCACTTACTTGAAAATTTTGGGATCTAACTTCCCCATCGTGGATCTTAGTCAACAGTTTTGACCTATTTAAAGAAAGGTTAATGTATTTGTTTCATTAAGCAAGAACAAACTTTAGATCCATAAACCATGCTAATATTTTCCCAAGTATTTCAAATGTTTTCATTTATATGGTAGCACATGTTTTCTCTATATCTCTGGGGTAGATAAGTGTAAGTGGACAAGTGACTTAACCCTTCTATGCCTCAGTGTCCCTATCCTCAAAATGAAGACTGTAATAGTACTTACCAGATGAGGCTATTGACCGCATTAAATTATATAATTCATGAAAAGATAACCCAGTGTCTAGCAAAAATAAATGTAAGCACTAATTACAAGTAAGAATATCTGTGTTATTTACATCTGCTAGTTATATTTAACTTTATAGAACCAGGATTGGAGATGCCTCAGTCAGTGGCAGAACTGGGTCAAAATAAGAATTTTCCAGTCTCCTGCCTAAGACCATTTTGGCATTTCCAATAGATATAATAATTCTGAGTTTTGGGACCAGTGGGTGGCGTGGTGGTTAAGATGCTAGATACTCCCACATGGCTGACCATGGTTCAAGTCCTGGACCTGGTGGCTTTCTCTCTCTCTCTCTCTTTCTGAGTGTCTCTCTGGTCAAATTAAAATAAATGAATGAGTAAATAAAAGAATTCTTTAAAAAAAATAATTCTGAGTTTTATGATGGCTTTTGAAAGAATTGAAAAGGAGAAAATTAGAAGGGGTGAACAAGATGCTACCTCAGTGAAACTTTCATTCTGGGGAATTTCATTTCTCTGGGCTGTCACAGGTAATTGGAAACAGATGTGCAACACCTGGGCATTTAGAGATAGGCTAATGGTGAAAAGAGATGAAGAATCTCTGTTGTCATAGAAGCAGCGACGGGTGGGAAATGAACTGAGCTTACTTCCTACTGGATTTGGTTCTCGTGGTTTATAACCTTTTTGCATTTGACTTCATTCCATTTGTACTGAATGGAAATGAGTCCAGTAGAGAACAGAGTAAGCTAATAAAACTCTCAAGACTTTGGAATCAGAGCAATATGAGTTAGAGAATTTATTCTCCACAATACTGGATTTTAGCCTTAATTTCCTTACCTGCAAGTGGAAATAATAATTCCTACCAATAGGGTTGCTCTGAGGACTGAAGAAGAAGATCCTATGAAAGGAGGTAGATAGTAATGTTCATCAATGAAATGGCAAATTAGTAGTGATCACTTATTTTGTGAAATCTCAGTACTAGACTCAATTAGAGGGAAAATGAAGATTAATAAGCTATCCAGTCGGACCTTGTGGAGTTAACAGTCTATTGGGGGAGAGGACTAGGCACACAGGGTGTACGTAAGTATCAAGTGTGCCCTAGGGGAAAATGTGGTAAAAAGGCTGTAGAGAATTTTAAAGGAAGTCCTGAGAGCCAGGTAAACAACAAAAGCTTCACTGCAGAAGTCAGACTGAGCATGGGGAGTGGATAGAATGTCAATTGGTGGAGATGCTTCAACCAAAGAGGAAGGAAAAAAGGCTATTACTCTTTATTTCTCTTTCTTCTGCCTTCCTCCATTCAGCACTATCATCCTGGTAAAATAAATGACAAAAGATACTTAAAGGATTTTAAAGAAAGATTGAAGTCCTTGTGCAGGGGCTGGGGAGAGAGGGGGTGGCTGTCAGGGTGCAGGGTGCAGGAAGGAGATATTGCAACGGGTATGTGCATACATGTTTCATGGCTTTTTCTAAGTGTCACCTCTGAGCTATCAATTCCGATTTGCACCTGTCTCCTCTTTCCTCTGCCCCATGTACACATGCACTTCCATCCTGTCATAACCCAAAAATAACAGCTCAGAATCTGCCACATAGGGGAGCACTAATTTCCTTTATAGATCGGAACAACTCTGAGTGGGAAACGGAAGGAAGAGCATGAGGAATTATCCTGAGGAAGAAATTGACATAAATAAATACAGTAGACTGAAAGTGTTGGTAGTCCCAATTTCTGGCTTCTCTGTACCTAAGCTGTTGCCCTATAACTTACAGTCTCCTCTCTCACTGTCATGGGTTGGCCTTGTGACCTGTATTGCCATTTGAATGAAGCAGGAATAACTTTCTCATTCCAGGCCTATGCTTCAAGAGAACTTGTGTACTTCTGCTCTTTCTCTTGGAACCCTGCCATTTGCTTCTTCCATGAAAGAGACAGATACTCCCCACAGGATTTCCATGCTACTATTCACCCCCAGTCCACCTTGTTTGGATCATGGGCACCCTATGCATGCCTAGAGTGCTCAGGGAGATCATAGGATACAAACCCTGGATGTTTCTTATGTGGGTCTGGCTGCCTATCATTGCGACATTGCCTGGTTCCTTGAGTCTGTCTTATGCTCCTGCTGTCACTCCTAAACTACAAGGGGCATGAGCACCTTAGCTCAGGAGATTTGAGACCAGAAACTGGTAGAGCCAGAACCCTGGCCTTTTGAAAGATGACCAGTATGGAGTCCAGCACTCCCATAGAGGAAACTGAGTAGACTGTCTTCATGCCTTAAACTTTTGACTCCTTGCAGTGTAGGTCATACTCTCTTTTATGAGAAGAGCTTTCTTCATTCTTTCCCAGAGCTCACAGGGGTACCTGACACATAGGAAGAGTTCAAAAAACGTGTGTTAACCACCTGCATTAATACTGTACCTTCGCTTTGGTGGGGCTGAGGGGGCAGGAATGATATTTGCATCGTCATAAAGCAAATCTCCTCCTGGCCCTTCCTGGTGAGACAGTCCCTCTTGCGGTGCTTCTGCTTCACCTTGACCATCTAGAGAAACAAACAAGGGGAAAACATCCTGTTCAATTGGTATGTGGTAGCAATCAGGCCCCCACACTATGTCTGCGCTGTGGCAGGCCCATACAAGTACAAGGAGGCCAGAAGATAGTCCTTGCCAGCATGCAACTTAACAGCTTCCTGCAGGACAGTCAGACACATACCTTAATTTTTCATGGAAAAAACAAAGTATCTTATGTTTCCAAAGAAGAGCAGATTCATATGGATGAAAAAGGAGAAAGAAAATGGGGCATGACTCCCAGAGACATGTTTCAAATCATGGCTTCACCACAGTATGTTTTAAACAAGTTCTTTGTCCTCTCTGAGCCTCAGCTGTCACATTTAATGCATGTAAGAATCAGGTAGAAAGATGAGTGGATGGGAGAGGTTCAAGGAAGAAATACTTAACGAACACAAGAATGTAAAGTTCTCTGCGGAAAATTATGTATATAGTAATATCCTTGATTTGACTATTGTTTGCTGCATACCTTATTGTGTACATATCTTGAAAAACATACCGTGTACTTTAGAGATGTACAATGATTAAATGTAATAAAAAATCATAATATAAAAAAGCTATGAATTTTAAAAAGTTTTATTTCTTGGGCCTAGAGGTTTGAGTGCTTCTCTAGATATGAAAAATTTTCTTCCATGACTTTGGGGACTAGATTATAAATGCCCTTATTAGTTTCTTCACCTTCTGGAATACCAATTATTTGGTTGTTTGGGCATTTAATGGTATCCAATATTGTTGTCTACTGTCCTCATGTTTTTTGGTTATTTTTTCAGTCTTTTTAGTGATTTTTTTTTTTAGGTCAGAGGTTTTGTCTTCTACATCTGAGATTCAGTCTTCTGCATGATATAATCTGCTTTTAATACTTTCGAGGGAGATTTTTATTTCCTGTATTATAACCTTCATATCTAATAGTTCTGTTAGATTATTTTTTATGGGGTCTAATTCTCCTTTTGTATCATGGGAGGACTTTCTCATCTCCTGGAGTTCAATGTCTCTTTTCTCTTGCATCTCATCAAGTTTTGTCACTGTAAATATTCTGAATTCTTTTTCTGACATTCCACCAATTTTCCCTGATTTTTCCATACTTGGAGACAAGAATCTGTGTTCCCTTATTGACGATGTATTACTTGGTTCTCACGTCCTTGAGGCTCTTTGATTTTTAGTCATTTGGTAATGTATTCACTTTTGGCCAATTAATTGGAAAAGTTTTCTGTAACTGTGAGCTTGTGCATTTCCCTTTACTGTGAGGTAATTCTGTGCTAATTTCTCCCTTCTACTGTGTTTTGCAAGGTGATATCCACAGGGGACATTTTGGGTTCAGATTTATGAAGAGGAGTTTCTTTATGCAGCAGGTTCAGTGGGGCATGAAGATTTCCCGTAGCATCACAGTATTCAGATGTTTGGGTACTATGCACCTAGGCCTACCTAGGCAGAATGTGAAGACCAAACAGCAAAATGAGAAAGTAAGGTAAAAGAAAAAGAGAATAGAAAAGAGAAATTAAAAGAGAAAACAAATGAAAAACAACCAAAAAAGGAGAAAACGAACAAACAAAAAATAAATGAAAACCATACAGCAAGCTTGGGGCACTGCACCTCAGATGGAGATGCCTGCGAATTCCCTGTCCCATGTGGGGGAAGGAGAGGGAAATTAGCAAGAGAAAGGCACAAGTAAAAAAAATTTAAAATATAAAAAAAATAAAAGAGAGGAGAGGAAAAAGAGATTTCCCTACCTTTCTAGCTTTTGGGGTATGGAAGGAGAGGGGCGCTGGTTGGGCACTTCTCAGCAGCGACACTGGGCCCAGAAATTGGCAAGGCTTGCCTCAGATGGAGACTCCTGAGATTTCCCTGTCCTTTCTAGCTTTGGGGGTCTGGAAGGAGAGGGGCACTTCCCAGCAGAGATGCTGGGCTCAGATGGAGATGCCTGAAATTTCCCTCCAGATAAAAATTTGAGAGAAAAAAAATGAAGATTCTGATTCTGCTGGTCTGGAATATGACCCAAAATTCTGCATTTTTAACAGCAAAATCTAAGTGAGGCTGTTCTTCCTGTCTGCCAGCTGGTTTTGAGAAGCAAGATGTTATAGTCTGAGAAGATAGCAGGTCACATCCCCTGGAACATGTAAATGTTACTGTATTTGGAGAAAGCGGCTTTGAGGACATGATTAAATTAAGGATTTTGAGATGAGAGGATAATCCATTTTAATCACGTATATCTTCTTTCTTTCTTTCTTTCTTTCTTTCTTTCTTTCTTTCTTTCTTTCTTTTTTTTAGAGAAAGATTTTTGCTGTAGGGCACGCATGCTTGCAAGACAGACAGAGACAGAGAAACAGAAAGTGAGAAACCACCCCCCACCGCCCCGGGAGGTGACCATGCTGAAATCCCTTCTCCTCTATCCTCCCCTCAGGATTTTGGGCACACATGCACATGTACCTGGCATGATTTTCAAGCCACTCGGTCCGGGACTCGAACTGTGGCTGGCCATGTGAGAGCCGAGCTACTTAACCACCATGTTATCTGCTGGCTCTATGTAATCACATATATCTTTAGAAGAGAGAGGTGAAGGGAGATTTTATGTAGACATGACAAAAAAGCAGCAATGTGGGACCAGCAGTTAGCGTAATGGCTATGTCGCTGGACTCCCACGTAGCCGATCGCGGTTTGATTCCTGGACCCGGTGGCTTAAACTCACACCGGGTACATGTGCATGTGTGCCCAAGATCCTGAGGGGAGAATGGAGGAGAAGGGCTCACTGCGTGGTCATCCCCCCCGGAGGGTGATTTCTTGCTTTCTGTGTCTCTGTCTCTCTGGCTAGCACACACGCCTTATAGCAAAAACCTCTTAAAAATAAAATAAAACAAGCAGCAATGTGACCCCAGAGATGGAGGCTGGACTGAGGCTGCCAGGAATCCAGGAATGCACAGACACCAGGAACTGGAAGCAGTTAAACATCAGATTCCCTAGAGGACCCTGACTGACCCAGGGCTACTGATTTGGGGCATCTTCCCTCCCTAACTGTGAGAGAATAAATTTGTGTTAAGTTACCAAGTTTGTGGTAGTTTGTACATAAACTATCTAGGAAGGGTAGATTTCCTAGGAAGCCCTGGAAAATCAATACACAAGGGTCTATAAAGCTTAAGTTAATGAACAGTAAACATATTCTTCAGACTCTTT